CTTCCGGCGCTGCGTTTATCGCTTGGCCGTCGTCGGAGTCTCGAGTCTACAGCTGCTGAATTGAGTTTGGCTCGTGTCATTGAGTTGACTTTGAACTACCTCCGTCACATTGTGTTGACTTAGGGTTTCGGATCACCGTGTGTTGACTTTTTTGTCGCAACGCGTTGACTGGCATTGACCTAGGGTTACGCGTTGACCGGCGTCGACCCTAGGGTTTCGAATCGTCAAACGTTGACTTTGGTCGCAACGCGTTGACTGGCGTTGACCTAGGGTTACGCGTTGACCGGCGTCGACCCTAGGGTTTCGAATCGTCAAACGTTGACTTTGGTTGCAACGCGTTGACCGGCGTTGACCCTAGGGTTTCGAATCGTCAAACGTTGACTTGTGTTGCAACGCGTTGATTGGCGTTGACCTAGGGTTACGCGTTGACCGGCGTTGACGCTGGCATTTCGAATCGTCAAACGTTGACTATGGTTGTAATGCGTTGACTGGCGTTGACCTAGGGTTACGCGTTGACCGGCGTTGACCCTAGGGTTTCGAATCGTCAAACGTTGACTTGTGTTGCAACGCGTTGATTGGCGTTGACCTAGGGTTACGCGTTGACCGGCATTGACCCTGGGGTTTCGAATCGTCAAACGTTGACTCTGGTTGTAACGCGTTGACTGGCGTTGACCTAGGGTTACGTGTTGACCGGCGTTGACCCTAGGGTTTCGAATCGTCAAACGTTGACTTGTGTTGCAACGCGTTGATTGGCGTTGACCTAGGGTTACGCGTTGACCGGCGTTGACCCTAGGGTTTCGAACGTCGTACGTTGACACAGTTTATACTCGTACGTTTACTGGAGTATACACAGTTTAAGCTCTTAAGGTATTAGAGCACAACAGTCCCAAGTGTCGGGGTTGCAGGACCAATTGTTAAAGCTGATTCATCTGCATTTGTGGATCTTATCCCTAAGTGATTGGATGTTCGGGTTACGAGACCAACTGATGGAGCTGATGCGTCAATGACTCGTATTTATAGAATTTTTGGCAAATTCTCAGCCGTCAACGGGTTTGATGAGCCTTTACCGACTACCGTTTGAGTCGGGCTAGCACGCGGATTGTTTAAGTCCGTTCCACATGTGACGTTAAGCTAAAAGAGTTAACCCTTTTAGTGCTACGATATTGAATACGTAGACTTCATCTTCCTCAAGGGAATAGACTACCCGGCGACGCGTGTTAGGCGTTGACTTTAGGATTTTTGGCTAATCCCCAGCCTTCAACGGATTTGATTAGCCTTTACCGACTACCGTTTGAGTCGGGCTAGCATGCAGATTGTTTAAGTCCGCTCCCATGTGACGTTTAAGCTAAAAGAGTTAAACCTTTTAGTGCTACGATGTTGAATACGTAGACTTTGTCTTTCTCACGGGAATAGACTACCCGGCAACGCGTGTTAGGCGCTGACTTATCCTTACTTAGGATTCAGGATAAAAATCCCCAGACTCGGATTATGGTGTCTTCTTCAATCGGTAAAAGACTAAACCGGTAATGTGTGTTAGACATTGGCTTATCCCTGCTTAGGCTTCGGGATAAAATTCCCCAGGTTTAGACCCTGGTATCTTCTTCAATCGGCGAAAGACTAAACCGGCAACGCGTGTTAGGCGTTGACTCATCCCTTCTTAGGCTTCGGGATGAAATTCCCCAGACTGGAATTTTGGTGTCTTCTTCAATCGGTAAAAGACTAAACCGGCCATGTGTGTGTGACATAGACTTTGGAATTTTTGGCAAACCCCCAGCCTTCAACGGGTTTGATGTGCCTTTACCGATCACCGTTTGAATCGGGCTAGCATACGGATTGTCTAAGTCCGTTCCGCATGTAACGTTGTGCTGAGAGAGTGAATTCTCTAAGACTTTGTGCTATGGTTTCGAATACATAGGCTTCGCCCTTGTTACGGGAATAGGCTACCCGGCAACACGTATTAGGTGTTGACTCATCCCTACTCCTTTTTACGGTCAAAGACTAACCGGCAACGCGTGTTAGGCGCTGACTCATCCCTTCTTAGGCTTCGGGATGAAATTCCCCAGACTGGAATTCTGGTGTCTTCTTCAATCGGTAAAAGACTAAACCGGCAACGCGTGTTAGGCGCTGACTCATCCCTTCTTAGGCTTCGGGATAAAATTCCCCAGACTGGAATTCTGGTGTCTTCTTCAATCGGTGAAAGACTAAACCGGCAACGCGTGTCAGGCGTTGACTTATCCCTACTTAGGCTTCAGGATAAAATTCCCCGTGCACCAAGTGCCCGGATTGGAAGTTGAGAATTGTGTCTTTTTAAGAGCAAAGACAGACTAGGAAATAGGAGAGGAAGAATTTTATATTCTATCTCCCGGTGCTGAAGAGGAAGAATTTTATATTCTATCTACAGCTGGAAAGGAAACTCGAGGTGGGATCTCCACCCCCAGAATCCGGAAGGATGAAACTAAGAGTGGGATCTCCACTCTGAGAATCGGAGAGGTTCGAACGACCCTAACTTTTATAGGATTGGTCATTTGAACCCCAAGAATCCCTCATTCATTTAGGAGAAAACCCAATTTCAACCCTAACTTTTATAGGTTTGGTGGAAAAGGGGACAAAGGTGGATTTTCGTTTATCGAAAAGGAATGACTCGGCCTTAGTCTTGACTATTTGTAGGCTTGACTAAGCGAGATCGGGAA